TCCATTGCTGTGGAATGGTGTAGCTAATGTGTAAAATGCTTTAACTGTTCCTCAAAACATTTAATGTAGAGTTACCACATGAACCAGCTATTCCATTACTTAGTATATACCCAAGAGAAATGAAAATATATTTTCACACAAAAACTTGTACATGAATGTTCATAGCAGCAGTATTCGTAATAGCCAAAAAGTGGAAAAATCCAAATGTCCATCAATTAATGAATGGATAAACATAATGCATTATATACATACAATGGAATCTTATTCAACATAAAAAAGACTGATATATGCTACAATACAGACAACCTTGAAAACATTATGCTAAGTGAAAGAAGCCAGATACAAAAGGCCACATATTAAATGATCCCATTTATACGCAATATCCAGAACTGGTAAATCTGTAAGTGCCTAAGGTATTTGACTGCTAACTAGAGGACTGGCAGTTCGAACCCACCAGGCACTCCACAGAAAGAAGGCGGGGTAATCTACTTCCTTAAAGATTTGTGTCAAAAAAAAAAAATAGGAAAAATAAGAAATATCTTGGTATTTGCCTCAATATTCATAGAAAAGCACTCAGGGAACATATGTGGGGGCAGGGAGATTCCATGATTGGATGGAAATGTGGGTGGAGTGAGATGTGTCATTGGAAACCCAGTGGTGGTCGCTATGAGTTGAAATTGACTTCATGGCAGTGGCTTTGGCTTTTGGTTTTGGGTATAGAGGCAGAAAGTAGAGTAGTGGTTTCCAGGGGGTGGAAAGATGTTCTGGAATTTGTTAGTGTTGATGGTTGAACAGTCGTGTAAATATATGAAAAATTACTGTGCAATACACTTTAAAATGGTGAATTCTGTGGTATGTGAATTATATTCCAATAAAAAATTAATGGTACCGATTATTAGGTCTATGGACACATATGTGCCTAGAAGCTCTCATGAGCCTTGTATGCAATCTTGGGTTCAAATTATTATGTGGCCACTTGCCCTGTAACCTTGGGTTAGTTCTTCTGGCTCTCTGAACCTTCCTTCATGCTACTGTAAAATGGAGTTAGACTTTTTAAGCTCCATGAGAACAGGCACCGGGGCCCACCTTGATTACTACTGTAACCCTAGGGTTCTGCACAGCTCCTGATCTAAATCAAGTGCTCAGTGAGTGTGTGTTAAATGAATCAATTCTTTCTTCCCAGGAACTTGAAGTAGAGAGGTCCAAGGAGTTCGCCCATTTGGGGCCCCCCGCATAGGGTGGTTTGATGAGGTAGGTAAGAATGTAGGTTCGAGAGCCTATTTGTGCTCAAATCTTGGCTCTGCCACTTACTAGCTGTGAGACCTTGGGTAACTCATTCTACATCTCTGTGCCTTAGTTTCTTCCTCTGCGAAGTGGGAGTAATAACAGTAACTATGTTACCTGCATGCTGAGTCTGTTGCTTAGCATAATTAAAGCCCACGAAGACACACTGAGGTGAAGAGTAGAAGACAGGGCTGAGACAAAGAGGGGACCTCCCTCAGGTTCGGTCTATCTGGGTGTGCTTTCCAAGCTCCATTTTATTGGGGAGGGATTATCTCAATATCGTGTTATACATACGATTTCATAGGATTACAGGTTAAGCGTGCACAGTAAGATATAAAGATGGCGATTGTTAGCATGTCTCATTATAATGTTAAGTCTCCACCCAGGGGTAGTGACTAAGGAATTTGACTGCTAACCAGAAGGCTGGCTGTTCAAACCCCTAGCCAATCGTCCGAAGGAAGACTGGGCAATCTACTTCCGTAAAGATACCACCTTGGAAACCCAAGGAGGGGTCGCTGCGATTCGGAGTGGACTCGATGGCAGTGAGTGAGAGTGAATGTTGCCTTTCACTCAGATTCGTGTTGTCCTTTAGCAGTAACCTGGGGTCAATGTTTATGGCCTCTCTCTGATGTCAGCAAGTCTCCTGACCACATACTGTTCTTCAAAAAGTTACATTTTGTAATTCTTTTTATCTCCCTCTCTGAGGAACATTGTGTGCCATCTACTACTTGGGGTTGTTTATTCATTCATTCAACGGATGTGCACCAGACACCTGCCACATACCAGGCACAGTTTTAAGCACTGGGCTAATTTGTTCAACATTGAACAAACCAGAAATCTCTGCTTTCCTAGACCCACATTCTAGTGAGAGGGAAAGAGAATGGGTAATTGAATACATAAACTGTACAGAACCTTAGATACTGAGAAGTACTAAGGAGAAAAAGAAATTCAGGAAATGAACAGAGCATGGGTTCCAGGTTTTGATAGGGAGGGCAGGGAAGACCTCCTGAGAAGGTACCAGTAAGTTAAGACCTAAGGAGGTGAGCCATTGAGCCTTATAGCTATCTGGAAGAAGAATGCTCTTGGTAATGGGGACAGGAAGTGCAGAGGTCCCGGGAATCAACTACAAGGGAGTATGGGTAGAGTGAAGTGAGTGAGGGGAAGAAGGAGTGGATGAGCATGTCGAGAGGTGATGGGGCAGGATCACGTGGGGCCTTTTGTACCACGGTAAGTGTTTTGGGTTATGGAGAGTGCAGTGGGGGGCATGGAAGAGTTTTGAGTGTAGGAGGGACATGATTTGCTTCCATGTTAACTGATTCCCTTTGACTCTGTGTGAGAAACTGGATAGGGGCAAAGGAGGGACAGGCAGCCTAAGGAGGAGGCTGTTGCAGTGGTTCAGGTGGGAAGTGTCTTGGACCAGAGAGAAAGGTATTATGTCAACTCGCAGGATGTTCAGCACAGAGCCTGGTGGGTAGTGAGCCCTCACTAAATGTTAGAAGTCATTGTTACTTGTCCTAGAGCTTGGCCTGGCCTAGTCCTACCTCCGATTGGTGG